TCTAAGGCTGAGCGGTTCTTAACCTTCCTGATGGCACGACCATTTAATTCAGTTCCTTATGTTGTGGTGATCCCCAACCAGAAAAGCATTTCGTTGCTACATCATAGCTGTAATTTCATTGCTGTTATGTCTAAAAAAATAAGAGTGAGAGCAACTGAAGAAGACACTACAAACGCCTCTGGCCTCTACTTATATGGACACTCACATACATATACATGTGTTCACACATGCGTGCGCACGCGCACACACACACACACACTCCACCAAGACCCAGATCTGTACATTTTGTGACTCATAGAACAAGCAGTAATGTCTATCAATATGTGCAGAATGCAACTGGCTTAGCAGCAAATGGATTTGTATCTACAAAGGGCCCTGTAGCTGAACATCTAGTGGTAGTTAAGACTGAATCTTAGTGGCACAGTCACTGTTCCCCAGTTCCTGTAAACGCCAGGTTTCCTTGTGCACGAGAGAAAGAACTGTGCTATACTCCCTAAACCAAATCTGCTATCCCAGGGAGTTGCTGGAGTCACTGCAATAATGATTGCAGCATGATATGATATTTGTTGAAAAAAGAAAAGTCAATTATTTTTATTCTTTTTTTGTGAAATTGAGAGAGTACAGTTCAAAACCTGTGAAGAGGCAAATCAATGTCATGATTAACTGATACTAACAAATATCCCGAGGATTTAAACTTTTTTCCTGTTCCAAGCTAAGCAGCTGACAGGGAAATGCCTAGCAGGGGTTAAAACCAAATGCCTGTACGGCAGCCCATTTCTGTCAACACTCCATTCAGGAAATAAACATTTATGCGTTCTGAAATGAGCGTGTATTTTTGAAGACTAGCCGTCAGATATTTTTTGCCCTTCACACTTTCAAATGCTTAGCCTTTTTGTACATTGACTGTAAAGTGCATCAGTTTGCCAGGCTGGAAAAAGAATGTCCCTGCCGAGTGCCTGTGGCACCACTGTCGACTCCTGAAGCTCCCAGCAGAGATGGGCAAGAACGCTGGCACAGAGCATGCTTTCCTCAAGCCTGCTACCTCAGGGGCATCCACCTCTTGAGAAGCTTTTCAGTCCTCCCAAGTGTTTTCCACTGTCATCTCGTGTGTTTGGAGCACGCTGTAGTGCAGATAAACACACACTTTAGCTGCGGGTCAGGGTAGAGAACCCTTTCGCTGAGCAACATGCCCGAGACACAGTTAAGTGGCACCGACTCCAGGGTGGTCAGAGAAAGAGAGAGATCAGACATGTCGGTGGTATCAGAGGAAGGGGCTGAAGCTGGGGAAGAGAAAAATATGCTGTGATGCAGTTTAAAAAGCCGTAATAGGACTGCACATTAGAAACGATAACCCGCCGCATGGCAAAGATTATGATCCGGGGTGAGAACAGCACGTGAGCTTCGAGGGACACAATGGCAAACCCAGTTTCATTTCGCTTAGGAGAAAGGTATCTTGCCAAAGATAGCTACATGTTATAGATGACAAGGACTCTACTTTGTAGCCTGATAGCTATAAAGCACTATTGAATGCCTAGTAAGAGCACAAACAAGCAATTATCATTTGGACACAGTATCTGTGAGCCCATAACACAATCATGGTTGGTTGCTTTTTTCTTTTTTTGGAAAAGAAAATCCCTTAGAGTCAGCTTCATTATCACAGAGTTTTTATTTAGGCTTATCATTTAGGTGTATATGCTTTGCTCATGTCTCTTGATAAAGATATTATTTCATCCATGTATCTTTGTGGAAGGGCAATGTAGTCAGCTCAAGGGAGGGTGAAAAAAATGTTTCTGAAAGCCAGGCATGGTGGTGCATTTCAGTTATCCTAGCACTTAGTGGACAAAAACTGGGGGGTCATCAGAGGGAGGCCAGCCTGAGCTATGTAGCAAGTTCAAGGTCAGCCTGGACCATGCCTAATAAATAATTAAATAATAAATAAATGTTTTATGGAATGGAAATAAAGTCTCCTTTGGCCCTAGTGATGTGACTGTTTTGTAGGACTTCTGAGTGCCACCCTATGGTTTTGGTGTGGAAACTTTATTTCAGTTTCTAGATTGCAGAGGTGAATTTGTAAAGGGACAAAAACTGTGAGACACTGGTTTTCAAGCCGAGAGAGGCCCTAACCACCTCAGCTTTTAAAATGTGGGGCTTGGGCTTATTTTTTTTTTTTTTTTTTTTTTTTTTTTTTTGATGCTTTTGTGAAAATCACACTGCCTTAACAAAGTGAGGAAAAAATAATTTCAGGACATCAAACAAGCAAAGTTGTCAGAGCTTTGTGTTAAAAAAAAAAAAAAAAAAAAAAAAACTGCACCTTTTCTTTTCCTTTCTTTCTTGTTATTTCAGAGTAAAATAAAAGGGCAAGAGTTAGGTTTGCAAAATAGATGAACACAGACATGTACACAGAGCCATCAATACAGAGGAAACAAATTGCAGAATCAACCTTTAAAAATGATATTTTATTGCTTTTGCTTAATTAAACCCCAAAGAAATGTGGCAGACATTGTTGTTGTAGAAGAAAAAATGTTAATTTGTAAATCACAGGGACAAAGGGGCCCCGTGCAACTTTAAAGTTTCCGTACACGTAAATGTCGATAGAGCGCCTTCTCCATCATCAGCACTAAATTCACATTGATGCCTCTTTTCTTCTCCGTATTGATCCTTCCATGAGAACGTAGATTTGTATCTGTTAATTAATGCGTCCTGAAACAGCGTTTGTATTAATCAGGCAGATAAGAAAAATTGGATGGCTGCACCCCAGTGACAACCGTAAAAGTGCTGGTCCTGATAAAATCACGGATGGACCTCAATAAAAAAGTTCCTCCTTCCACTCAATAAACTAATCATCCTGCTTTTAATTATTCGGCAGAAAGATGTGTGGAGATTGGAGGATGTGTAAATCTATTTACTAACAGCAGGGTCTGGGAGGGAGGATGGGGCTGCCTCTGGACGATGCTCAGGGCTATGAGATCTCTCCATCTGCTGCGGCAACAAACTACCATTTAGGTCTGTGAAAAGGAAGAATTTAAACCAGGGAAATTAAAAACAAAAAAACAAGATTCATTCCTTCTGGTTTAGAAGTTTCCCAGTGATGACTTTTGTTGTTGTTGATGACTGAATTTGTAAAAGAGATCCCTATTAGTATTTCTTTTTCATTAGTTGGTGTGGGATGGGTGGTGAGGCAGAGAGAACAATGAGTTTTGTTTGTCTTTTGTAGAACTTAATTTTCTTTGATAATTATTTTCCCCCATTGACTTCTTTAAAATGCTATCAAGATGTATTTATTAATGTAATACCAAATTTCACGGATTAAAAAAAGTAAAGAAAAAAGTATGAAACTAGTCCCAAAGAAGCCCTGTCAAATACCAAACAAGTGCCTTCATAATAAAAAAAGTGCTATAGAGATCCCACCTAGAGAAGTGGAAGTAATCCCTTTGATGGTTTTATTAAGCACGTATGGTACCAAGAGCAGTCTACTGGTTTTCTCAGTGGGTCAGGAAAACCTCTCCTCTTCTTTACTGTCATGTGGGACAGAAATGATTCCATGTGAATAAAAATGGGACCAAATAATGGCAAGCAGGAGCCTGCAGAGGTGTACATGGATAATTATGAGTAGATCATAATATCTAGGAAGGGTAGAGGAGATTCCTTAAGTTGCATTAGTTACAATGATCTCCCTTTTACAGGATTACTGCCAGGAAGGCCTTAAATCATGATAGTGTGTACTCAGCAACCATGGACTGCAGAATATGGGCTTGGAATTCTGGGGCCTATCATTGGCAAGGAAATACCTACTTTTCAGGTTTCTTGGGAACAGTCAGCCAGTCATCAGCTATTGTCACTGACACAACAAGGAGGTTATATAATAATATATTCTATACAATAGTGATATATATATAACATATACTATAATAATATTATATAAGATGCAAGTACATTATATAACACCCACACACACATACATCTACTTGGACCTAATGAAGTAGATTGAGTTAATTGTCTTACTTCTTCTTTCTGTGTTGAACAATACTGTGTTGAACAATTTCTCAGTTGTTTGTTTTCTGTTACTCGATCATGGAAGAGTTTCCATAGCCTCTGTGGGTACTTTCTAAAATTTTAGTGAAGGATCCAGCCAGCTATTATTTTAGGTAAAAATAAGACACAATGCTTCCCAACTGCATGTTGTTAGTAAGCAGTTAGAGGACATGCATTTTTTAAATTTTCCCAATGCAAAAACAAGTTCATTGTCCTGTGTGAGCTGAATGACTGAGCCAGTGCCAGAGCATAGCCAATATTTACATTTGCACTCTGGCTTCCTGCCTGTTCTTCCCACCAGACACTTTTATTTCTATATTTAGAGTTTTAAACAAACAGACTTTAATAATAAGAATGAACTGTAGATTTTTCTTTGGCAAGGAGGCTGGTAAGCTAAGATTTCTCCCTTCTTTATATCCTGGTTAGGATTGAAAAGAGGAATCCACACTGATATCAGCTGGGAGGGGTGGCCAGCTATAAATACTGAGTTGGTTTAAATTCATCACACGGGAATTATGGAGATACACTTCCAAGATGTTGACTGTTATGCAGTTTTAATTGCTTTCTTTCACAATAAACGTGGGCAATTATTTTTGCCTTTATCCTCCTCATCCCTATTAGTTTTTACAAACTAGGTAGTTGAAAGTAACTCAAAATCTTACCTCTTTTAATGTTAGGAATTGAGCATAGAGGTGGCGTGGTGCTGTCTCTGAAAATAAAGGAAAGAAAATCATCACTCTGTTATGTTTCCCTGGCTAGGTTCTACCAAAGGAACAACCAATAGAAACTGGCTTGGAACTTGGGCTTTGGGTTTACAAAGTGATAAGGGGGTGAGGGATTAGTAGCTTCTAATCAGAGTCTGGCATGGTTGTGAACCCTGAGACAGAGGTTGCCTACCCTAGGAAGCTCAGGTTGCATGATGAAATCCTTGCTTTAGAGTAACTCAATCCATCCATCTTCCCATGCAGGCTTCTCCACGCTGTCCCTGGCGGATCAGATGAGCCTTCTCCAGAGTGCGTGGATGGAAATCTTGATCCTCGGTGTTGTGTACCGATCCCTTTCATTTGAGGATGAACTTGTCTATGCAGACGATTATATAATGGATGAAGACCAGTCCAAACTAGCAGGCCTTCTAGACCTAAACAACGCTATCCTACAGCTGGTGAAGAGGTACAAGAGCATGAAGCTGGAGAAGGAAGAATTCGTCACCCTCAAAGCAATAGCTCTTGCTAATTCAGGTCAGCAAATTGATGTGGTCATTGCTGCATTGTTAAAGCTGTCAGTGTTCCCTCTTTCTGTCTCTTCCTGGGGATTTGTGAGGCCTAGTTCTTAAAGTCTCCATGAGTCAGCGACATTATAATCAGCACTGCTTTCTAGTGAAAAGTTAGAAAGAAAATAAACTTAGGAGGGAGCAGTTTTTTATTTTACTTCTCATAAGCTGTGACACTTTTAACACCCTTTGCATTTACTAATTTGGACCAGAGTGAAGCTGAAGGTCTTGAGGGACTTACACAAATGGGCACTCTTGGGACAAAATTAGCTTCATTGTTATTTCTGAGTGAGTCTACATTGGTGAGTTATGGAGAAACACTCTCCACCTCTCCTCTCAAAAAGGCCAATTTTGCAGTTGAGAAAAATACATGCCATGTGACCTCTTGATTTTGTTATAAAAGGTCACTCTGTGGCTTATATTCTGGAATTCTCTAAACATTGGATTCCTGCCGTAAGTACCACCTGCAGTAAGGGTTAAGAATGATAGGAATTAGATACGCCTTGCATTTGAACAGTCATGTGCTAAGACTGGGGGGGGGGCAAACTCTGGTAAGTAAAAATCATTGGTACTTTGTTGTTTTCCCTTTGTGCCTTCCCTGATACTACATTGTCTCTTTTAACATTTGCATAAAGTTCAGGCTAGATCCCTCCTAATGACGGGCGGATCTTCAGATACCTGCCTGTCAATAACAGCTCTCAAGCCATGTACCATTGACAGTCACACCGTGCTCTTTCTAGCAGCTTTTGTTTTGACCCTATCTTTGAACTTTATCTTGGTTGCTGGCCAGTAGTTTTCCCTTTAATTACAAGAAGGAAACTGTCAATAAAATCTGTTAAATGGGATGCAGTGAGTGGCTTGAATGGGCGGATGGCTATTTGTTCAAATTCTGCAGTATTCAAGGTATTGACAGTTTGTTTTCTGGGGCCATATGTGACGATCAATCTCAGGCTGGGCTCAGCCGCGCTGAAAAATGAAAAACCAGATTGCTTTTGCTAACTTATGGATGACGACTTTGTGATCTGGCGTGGTGTGGGCAAGATGAGATCTTCTGCCCAAATTGCCCCCATGAGACCCAGGGATGCGTGACTGTTTTTAGAAATAATTTTTAATTGATTTTGTAATTAACAGTTCATCTACAATATTGATGTATGAATCCTTGGACTGATAGAAGGGAAATTGTTTTCAACAATGAAGTTGTACCTTCCTATTTGTCTTCATAATGGGCGTTGGCATTTCAGTTTTAATTGTGACTATACCCACTCCTTACCACACCATCCCCTCCCTCTCCTGTGAAACTTAGAATATGATTTCTTGTGACAAATGACCTTGCTTTTACTAACTCATGAGACACCTTGCCCTGCTCTTTAGAGAGTCCACATGGGATATGAGATAGAAATTTCTTAAGAATTTTTTAATTTGTTTAGCCTCTACCCTATAGCATCTCTCCAAATTGAATGCAAGATTTCACAGTACTAGTTTTGCAAAGGAGTTTTACTTGATGATGATAAAAATAATTACAACTGAAACCATTTAGGCAATTCATTGTTTTTTTTTAATGGAGTAAGCACATTTTATATCTTTTTATGCTTCCAATTGATTTTGTAAATTGTAAACCCTGAGCAGTGTTAAAACTTTGTCATCAAAATTGCTGAAAGTTGGCAATTGGAGATGTTCAAGGCATAACTTATGGCTAAGTATTTTAATGTAGATTCCCTCAGCTCCTTACTAAATGTTTAATCATTGATACTGTCACAATATGAATGTTCCAACCCACTTCTTCTGCTGCCAGGTCAGGAAGGAACCTGCTCTAGTCACACATTGCTACAAGTCCACATTAGTTTCTTGTATTTAAAGCTAGAAGTTTTTAAGATGTTTCCTACCCCACCAGTCCTAGTTACCAAGTAGTGTGGCTTCCCAGTGTGTTTCTACATTAGCTGATTCTCGTATCTGTTTATCTTTTTGATACCAAGAAAAATCTAGTTCTGAATCCTAGCCTTTTAGTTTGGGGTGAACCATTTAAAAAGTCATTTTCTTTGATCCTTTGATATAAGGCTATTTAATTCCATTTGATTTTGCCCATAATTTGGAGGACAGAAGCAAACTTATAGATTTAGTCTTGTTTGGATCCTATATGAGTTTCTTAAATGCTTATGGGAACATCTTTTTTATGCTCATCTTTAAGCATATCCCTGTGCACACATCCCTGTGAGCATATCAATGTGAGCACATCCCTGTGAGCACACCCCTATGAGCTCAACTGTGTGCACACATCCCTGTGAGAGTATCATGTGAGCACATCAATGTGAGCACAACCCTGTGAGAGCATCGTGTGAGCACATCAATGTGAGAACATGCTGAAGCTTTGCACAGACACATAGACATGCTAGAAAATGTCCTGTTTTCCTGTTAGTATTCAAGAATTTTAGATTAACATAAATGAGTTCTTACATAAAAATTAATATTATTTAGTAGAGACCTATGTGACCTTTTCCTGAATGGCTGTAGATGTTAACAGATAGCTCAGTTATCTGCCTTGTCTTATTTTAAACATCTGCTTACATTCACTACTTGTAAATATTGTGCTTCTGCTTGGCAAGCAGACAGTTGGACTCCTGATAAGGGCTGTCATGCTTTTCAGTGAGCTTATTCCATTCAAGAATAAATATGAATAAAATTAAGTGCCATTTTTTTTTACTGCTATGTAATACTATGTAAGAACCAGTAGAATAAATATCTTCTGATAAAGTAGTATAAATAGCATTCTTTATCATCAGCTTAAATGCTGGGGTAATTTTAGGGATCTGATAGCTGAACACATAACTCTGCACAATTGTAGAATGTCTAGTGACAGAATTCTGGGACTTCTTTAGACATTTAGAACAGGGTGGGATCATATTTAATTAGCATATTTGAACCCTCATGGAAGTTTGGCTTAGTACCTCTCAATCATTTTTATTACCATCCCCTCAGGGGAAATTTTTGATAAGATTTTCCTTTTAACTTGCTAATTAAAAAGCAATACCACAAATATATATTTGTTTATGTAACATATATTTGTGAATGTTTTGTCTAAGGGGAATTGTTTCCTGCTCTGTAAGTCTATATTTCCTCTGTTTCAGAGAGCAAGGTTTAGGCATGTCAGTTCTTGCTTTCTTTCTTTTATTCTTTTTTTCTCTCTCTTTCTTTCAATTTTTTAAAAATAGACGCTTCTCATACAGAACATTCCAACACAACCATAATTTTCCCTCTCTCCTCTCCTTTGCTATTTCCCACCTCTTTCTCTCCCCCAGATCCACTCCTCCTCCGTTTCCTCTTCAGGAAAGAGCAGGCCTCGAAGAGACAACCATAAAACAGGACAAAACAAGATACAATAAGACAAGGCAAAAGCTGTCTTAATGAGGACTGGACAAGACAACCTGATAGGAAGAAAAGAGCCCCAAGAGCAGCCAGAGTCAGAGATATACTGTCTCCCACCATTAGTAGTCCCACAAAAACACCAAGCTCACAACTACAATACATATGCAGAGGACCTTGTGCATACCTAGGCAGGCTCTTGCTTGCCTTTTCAGTCTCTGTGAGCCCATGTTAGGCCTGCTTAGCTGATTTAGTAGGCTATGTTCTTCTGGCATCCTCCCTCCCCACAGGCTCCTCCCTCTCTTACTCTGGGTTCCTCAGAGGAGAAAGACCCCGAACCATAAAGTAAGCTAGTGAATTAAACGGTGTTTACTGTCACTAAGTTATACAAATGTTTGAAACTAATTATTAAAGGTGAAGACTTTTTTTTTTTTTTTTTTTGGTATGAGGGTATGGGGGACATTGGCAGAGATTGTATTATTAAACTTCAAGACAGAAATATAGCATTTACATGGAGCTAAATAATAAGAATAGATGTCACTAACAAAATCCTTTTCAATCTACAAGAGCTCCTAGGTTCTTGGATAATTTTTAAAAAATTGCCTTTGTTTCAATGATGTTCTAGAGATGGATTTAATTAGTTACTGACCAAGAGGTTATATCCATCCATCCACTCACCCACCCATTTATTTATTTATTTTAGAAAACCTTGCTGTAGCCATCTCTTTTTAAACCGTCTCTTGGGGAAATCTCAAGACGTGCCCATGGAGGAGACACATTTACCTGAGAAAAACTGATGAAGACTTGTAGTCCCTGTAAGACAGAAAGTTGGACATTTTGTCTCTGTTCTCAATCTATTGTTTTTATCCCACAAATGACCATGCACTGTGTTTGAGATGTCCCGGTACAGAAGACCTGGGAAATTCCAATTTCACCTTCAGACACTAAACTGATGGCTTTACATTACTTTAGAATTGACGCCTACTTTTTTATTTTCCTGTCTTCTGATAATTGTAACACAGTTGTCCCTTGGTTACAAAACCTGAATAGGTAAAAATTCCATATGTAAAATGGCATATTTTTCTTTTTAAATATAACCTACACCTGCTTGTTTTAGTAACTTATCACTTACAATATGTGGTGCCAGATAAATTTAGGTAAATGATTGTTGTATTCTATAGGGAATAATGACAAGGGAGAACTCTATATTGCATTCTTCATTTAAAAGCTATATTAGTGTTCTTTTCCCTAGGCAAAATCAGTGTCATCAAGTATACTGCAGAGATATGAACAGAGCTCATCTCTCTCTGCTAACCCTAAAGAAGAGTCCCTTTCCTTGACTTCTCTAGTATTGGTCACATTCCATAACGTATAGCATCTGCATAGATCTGTCCATCCACTCATCTACCTATCTATCATCTGTCTTTTCATTTTATCTTATATTCTTGAGACAGTGTCCAACTAGGTAGTTGAAATAGCCTTGAACTCCTGATCCCTATGTCTGTGAGTACAGACATACCCACCATGCCAGGCTCTTCCTCCATCACAAAAGCCAGTGATATTGAAGCTAATCTTCATGACATTGCTGTCTTCTCTCTACTTTGGTGGTATTGGCCTGGATATTTCAAGACAACCTCCTATATTAAGGTTCTCTCTTAATCACAAGCAAAGTTCCTTTTACCCTATGAGGTGACATTTATGGATCCTAGGACACAGGACTTGGACATCCTTGGAACCAATTTTCAGTCTGACACAATGAATATATGAGCAAGGTCAAAAAATAAGACTGCAAAGTACCCAGGAACCCTTCCAGATGTCTTGTTCCAGCCCAAACCCTCTCCCTTTCCTCCAGAGTAACTGCTTTTAGAAAATGAGGTGCTAAATATAAACCTATTGATTCAAATAGATGCGCTGGATCCTATGAATGTAGCAGATGCAGATGCAGAGAAAAAGTTAACTCTATCCTAAAGGGTAACCCTTGCTATACTGGCTTTATTGTTACACTTCCTTGTGTTTGTCATTAGATTGTTTATGCTTAGTGAGTGCAACGAGTCTAGCTCATTTATCTTGAAAATCTTATGAATAGGTTTTTGAGTCTAAATGTAGTCTGAATGCTCCCCATTTCTTTCCATTTTCTTTTGTCTGTTGTAGAAACAGGAACATTTGTCCTGCAGAGTCCCCACAGCCTTGATGCTATGAGCTCTTCCTTGTTTCTCTGCCTTTGCAGTTTGTGTACACCACACTCAGGCCCTTGTCCTGTGGCACTACACAATGCCCAGCAGCCTGTCTGTGAATTCACAGCTGAGGATGCCGATGACTGAAACCCATACATCATTGGAGATTTCAGAGGACTAACCATGGCCTCAATTCTTGTTTTTTCATTCAGTAGTGATATATAGGAATATGCATTCTGTTTTTCTCTCATTTCTCTTTAGTTGCCAGGAATATATTTTATAGACAAAAGCAGAAGAAATACTTGATTCAATCTCTTTTTTTCCAGTTTTCAAATTTTAAAAAGTGTCCTTTTAAAATGTCATATAAATACAGGTATCCATGCATATTTAGTGGATATTGATAAGTTGCAAATATTATCTTACTGAAGCTAAGGGTTGTTCCAAGTTAGTCAGTGGTCAATTTCTAGGAGTTTCTTCAATGAGCTGTTGGTTTTGTATGATACTCATGCCATTTGGTGTTTCAATGCATTCTGTACTCATTTTAAATCAGGGACCAGGACCAGATAGCAACCTTGAGAAGTGTTACTCACATGTAAATCTAATTGTATGGGTTTTAGGGGGATCTTGGAGACATCATTGTCACTGACTTGTTTTACAGTGTCACTTGATTTGGCTTATTGCACAGTTACTGTGTTTTAACTAAAACTTACAATCAGTGCTTTTCATTCTTTTAATTTTTTTTTTGGGGGGGGTAGCCATCTTGTCAGTCAAGAGCCCATTTGTCTTATAGTTAACCATGTTTCCTGAACAACAGCTGACTGCTGACCATAGGTCACTCTACAAGATCTTATCCAGTGTGCCTAGAAAGTTTGAAGCATACATTCTCTTTTAAGATTAAGTATTCTATGTTGGCAATTTATAAACACCGAAAAGAGTGGCCAGTTCTGCTATACACATGAATTACTGGGCATGCTGGTTCATGCTATAGTCTAGACTTAACACTGAGCATACTTATATCCTTCTGATACTCAGTTCTAGCTCAGAGTAAAGTCTGGGGACTAAGACATCATTATTGAGAATGAGCTACAAACAGGAAGTCAATGCTTTACTATGGATAATCAATGAACATATTTGGTGATGGCTAGAAGAGACATTGTGTGCTGCAACTATTGAAGTAGGCATATTTATCCCTGTTCTTGAAGAGTAGGGTGACACCTCCCCTTTGGGGCCCATTCATGGGATAAGCTATTCAAAATTGTGAAGTGGAACTGGAGAGGTGGCTCAGCAGTTAAGAGCACTGGATGCCAAACAAAGGTTCAAAACCCAATACCCACATAGCAGTTCACAACTGTCACTATCTTGAATCTCTTGGAATACAATATCCTCTTCTGGCCTCTGCAGACACACGAGGTACACATGCAGGCCAAACACCCATACATTAAATAAATACATTTAAGACACAATAAAAACATTCTATATGGCTAATTATTAAGGGTTAAAATATCATATAAGTAACAATATATGCCTTCTTTGAACTTCAGTTATACTTTGAAAGTTTATTTTTTAACACACACACACACACACACACACACACACACATTCATTTTATTCAGTAGTCCTGAATTAAGATTTAGTGAAAACATGTGGATCCAACCCAGTACTCTTTCTTTCTTTCTTTCTTTCTTTCTTTCTTTCTTTCCTTCCTTCCTTTCATTTTTTCTTTCTTTCTCTCTCTCTCCTTTCTTCCTTCCTTCCTTCTTTTCTTCCTTCCTTTCTTCCTTCCTTCCTGGTTTTTCAAGACAGGGTTTCTCTTTGTAGTCTTGGAACTCACTGTGTAGACAAAGCTGGCCTCGAACTCAAAGGGATCCTCCTTGCCGCTGCCTCCCAAGTGCTGGGATTGAAGGTGTGCACCACCACTGTCCAGCTCAGCAATGTTACTTCGATTTGGTGGTTCAGGGCTTAGGTCCAGGTATTGAGGTTCTTTCCCAGCTGACCTGGTGCTCCTCCTGGGCAGCCTCAGTATGTCACATTTGCTCATGATCCCTGTTTCTACACTTACTTTGTTTCCATTCATTCTGATTCTGGTACCCATTGCCTTGGGGATGTACTTGAAAAGAAACCAGTGCCCACAACCAAAGCCCAACAATAAGTGAGTGGTACTTCTACCATGCCTGGCATCTGTGTGTCAGCCCAGCCCAGTGAAGAGAACAGATTAAAGTTAGAGAACCAGCACTTGAACTAGGGCCCCTAATGGAGATGAATATTTCCTTCAGCAGTCTGCCAGCTGAATCATGGTCTAATTAAATAGTTCAGATTTAGTGAGTTTGCATTTAAAGAATGAGCAGATCTGAGAATGAGCAAAGCTAAAATGAGTTAGAATCTTTTCTGTAAATGGGAAGTCAAATTATCATAGTAATTTGATTAAATCATTTTTAAATCTTTCCAGCTAAATCACGCCTTTAAAGAATAGTTTGAAGTCTTAATTGCTGTTTGTGAGCATATCGTTCTGCTGTTTGTTCTCGCCTCATTTCCTGTGACATCCGCTCGTATATCTCTCTGGGCCAGGCCAGAGTAGTGGCGAAGGCAGAGCTGAGGGGGAGGGCTGGAGCTGCCTTCCCATGTTTAAAGGCACACCATGTAGAAAAGCCTTCCACTTCCCATATACTCTATCATCTCCCAAGATCACTTTCAGGTGGGAAGAAGGAATAATATCAGGACTTTTAGGGGGAGGGTCTTCTGACCCTCCCTCATGTCCCTCTACAAGGGAATATCAATCAGCTGATCCAGTAGTGTTACATAGACCCGAGCATCACTGTATTGCATTGCTCAGTAGTAGCCATGGTTACCATGCCAAGTGAATCTGAGCTCCAAGATGGCATCATTTTATACCTGGAGGTAAAAACACCATAATTGTTACTTATTTAGTATAGATAAGGGCTAATTTACCAGTGGCTTAGTAAAATGACTTTATGTAGCCCTGTACAAGAAAAATAAGCAAAATATTTTAAATAAATGGAAGGGTTTTAACAGCATTTTGCTGGTGATATCCATTTGTCCTAATTCCTTCCCCTGTTTGTTGTCATTTGGTCTTATTACAAGGTTCTGTTTAGACTGTGATCAGTGTTTGAGTAGTGTGAGACTTTGGGCTAACTACATATATCTTTGTACTAAACATTCACAGAGAAAAGGGATTATTAAACATGAAGAGTCCCTAAAGACTCTATTATGTGTAATTAACAGATAAACTGTCATTGGAATCAATAAAATGTGTTAAATGATTCAAACTTGTATATAATTAAGTGTCTGTTTTATTATTATTTTTTTAATCCACATTTCACATTTCTCACAAGGATAATTGCGACAACCTTGTTAACCCTTTTTGTTCCTGGTGGAATTAGATTGTTAGATTAGTAATTTATGGGCACAGTTCACTATTAAAAATCTGCAAAATATTTCACAACTCAAGGTTAGAAAACTCTATCTAGGTAGTGAAATTGAGTATATAAGGAAACTTTAATGTCAGGAATATATTTAAAATCTTGTAAGAATTACGATGATATTAGAATGCACTATAGTGTGAGGTTTCTGTGTATCATGTGGAGTTGTTGATTATGTCCTTAGTCATTCACTCTTTTCCTAACTGGAAGTATATACTTTTGGGGAAGGATTTAAGATTTAAACTCTTATCTCTACTAACATTTAGACATTTATTTTCAATAATATTTTATTTGTTTGTAAGAATTTCTCATAATCTATTTTAATCATATTCATTCCTTTCTCCAGCTCATCCCAAATTCTCCTCTGCTCCCTTACTCCCCTGTGCTCTAAGCCCCTTGCTATAATTCTTTGTTAAATGAACACATGAGAAAGGCTTTGAGGCCAGTTGCCCAGATAATAGTCAATTAAAATGTTCTCCTCTCCAATATGTGATATATGCTGTAAATATGTGTCTATATCTACATATGTATAGATGTAAAATAATTCCTATCTTCTAAGCTCACACTAAGGATTACTAAGCAAAATTCAGGGAAAAGCATACAGATGTTAGAAATAAGACCTCTGAAGTTGCTTTGACTTTGGGGTGACCAAGAGCACACAAGTCTTTTTGTTGAGAATGTTTTCATCTGTGTTGTTTGTGATATTGCTTCATAGTGTTGTGTGCGTTTGTGTGTGTGTGTAAAGTGTGTAATAAGCTGCATTATCTTTGACTTTACTATTCATGTGATCGCTGACACATTCTGCTTCATTGTCCAGATTCCATGCACATAGAAGATGTGGAAGCTGTTCAGAAACTTCAGGACGTCTTACACGAGGCGCTGCAGGATTATGAGGCTGGCCAGCACATGGAGGACCCTCGCCGAGCAGGCAAGATGCTGATGACGCTGCCGCTGTTGAGGCAGACCTCCACCAAGGCCGTGCAGCACTTCTACAACATCAAACTAGAAGGCAAAGTCCCCATGCACAAACTTTTTTTGGAAATGCTGGAGGCTAAGGTCTGACTAAGAGCCCCCCGGGCTCTCCCATTCTGCACGTTGAAAAGGGAAGACAAACCCAAGAGTGATGTTGAAGAATCTTAGAGTTTAGTGAACAACATTAAAAATCAACAGAGACTGCACTGATATTTTAGCAGCAACAGTACAATGCAGCCTGCGGAATCCACCACATCTTCCTGATAGGTTTTCTCACCTTTACCCCGCTGTTCCTGCAGCCTGTCCCTGTCCCTCCGGCCCTCCCTTATTCCTGTCCTTACATTTTTCTTCTTTTCTTATTGGTTCCCTCTTTCTTCTTCCCTCCTGCCCTTTTTTCTTTCCCCTTCTTTCTCCTCCCTTTCCCCATCCTTCTTTTCTTGTCTTGAACTCCTCCTTCTTCCTTTTCTCACTCCTTCACTCTACATGTTCAATACCTCTAATTGCAAGGAACATTTCCTTTACCTCCTGCATCTGTTCCCTTTCTTGTCCTTCCTTGTCTTTTCCTTTCCTCCCCTCTGCTGCTGAACTCTTAAATGCAGTCTTTAACTGGAGAGAGATGGAAGCCAGCCCTGCCAAAGGACAGAGATCCATAATATGGATGCCAGTGAACTTGTCATGAACCATGACATCCCCAGTGTGTAAGGAATCAAAGAGAGAACCGTACCTAAAGTACAGTGCAACACAAATGAATCGACTTAGTGCAGTATTAGATTCCACGGAGCAGCCTCCGATCAGACAACTTAAGTGGCGGCATTGGCTGCTTCTCCTTGCTTTCTCATCTAGATCAGTTACAGCCATTTGATTCCTTAATTCTTTTGTCAAGTCTTCCAGGTATTGGTTAGTTTAGCTACTATGTAACTTTTTCAGGGAATCGTTTAAGCTTTATTCATTCATGCAATACTAGAGAGGGGTAAGGATACCGCAACTTCGCGCTGGCTTTGAACAATTGAACCCTAATGAAGGACAAAGTGACCCTGAAGGAAGATTTTTTAAAAAAAAAAGTTTCATTTCTTCTTACAAATGGAGATTTTTTTGTACCAGCTTTACCACTTTTCAGCCATTTATTAATATGGGGATTTAACTTACTCAAGCAATAGTTGAAGGGAAGGTGCATATTACCACGGATGCAATTTATGTTGTGTGCCAGTCTGGTCCCAAGCATCAGTTCCTTACATGAGCTCCAGTTTGCCTAAATGTTCACTGACACCAAGGGTTAGATTACACCTACCGCGGTGCCAAGCGGTCACATCCATGAGCACTGTACATGGGATCCCTATCCGTAGAATTAGCACCAGTACACCTCCCTGCCGGGAGGGACAGTCGCCATACGATTTCTAGCTGCCCTCGTGGTTAGGAATGACATGCTGCCTGTACGCAGTTACAAACTCTTGTCTCAGAAGGAGCTGTGTGTGAGCCAATATCATTTCAGAGGCAATAAGGCTAATGCCAGAATTCAAACAACAATCATTAAAGACAGCAGACGCCTGACCAAATTCTAAAACCTAATCCGGAGGAGTCGATTCACTTAGGGATGATCGTTTCAAGTAGCCGCACTTTCATTTTGTTTCTTTGTTTTTACCAAGAGTTAAGCCAATAGATGTGCTTTCCAACCCGTATGGTCACAGCATGAAAGTCACAGCTTCAGAACTGTAACCAGGTGTAATCTAACAAAGACATCAGATGCCCCTCCCGGAACCTACAGTCGCCGACTAACCAGGAAACAGTTAACCTCCATAGAGCGCTTTTACCAATGGACCAGTGTCAGTAGCTGCTCTCTGTATTCTGTGGACAGTCTTACTCTATGTACACAGATGTAATTAAAGTTGTACTCCTAACAAACAAAAGAATAGTTCAGCTTCAATGTTCCATGTTTGCTACGCTTTTCGGAACTTTACGTTGCATTCAGAAACTGTCGTCTTGTTCTCGTGGTGTTTGGATTCTTGTGGTGTGTGCTTTTAGACACAGGGTAGAATTAGAGACAGTATTGGATGTATACCTTCCTCAGGAGACTACAGTAGTATATTCTACTCCTTACCAGTAATAACTGAGATTGAAACTCCAAACCAGTATTCGTTACGATCAGACACACATCAAAATCATAACAATATTTTCAAAACAAGGGATAATTTCTCTAATGGTTTATTATAGAATACCAATGTATAGCTTAGTCATAAAGCTTTGAATATTCAAGTATATAGATAAGTCTAATTTTTAAACGCTGTATATATGGCTTTCACCTGATCATCTCTCAGATGTTGTTATTAACTCGCTCTGTGTTGTTGCAAAAACTTTTTGGTGCGGACTTGCTTCCAAAATTATTGCTACTTTGTGTGCTTTAAGCAAAATACCTTGGGCTGAGGGTGCATCAGTCCTGTGCTAGGAATACTGTGTATCTATCATTAGCTATATGGGAATATATCGTAGATTGTGGTTCTCAGTAGAGAAAGTGACTGTAGTGTGAATCTAGGTAAATCATCATTAGCAATTCATTCGGATGGTCAATAACTTGAAATTGATAGCTGTGATAAGTTTTAAAGAAATTGGCAAATCCCTGAAAAAAAAATCAACAGAAAATACAACTCCTGGGGGGATAAAAAGGTGCTGATCCTGTAAGATTTTTTCATCATGTGTTTAAAAACATTATTTTCCATAAGGTTTATGCAGGGTTTAAGTTACTACTGTGCAACTGCGTGATATATATGTGTATGTATATATATATATATATATATATATATATATATATATATATATGGAATATAGATAGTATATCCACTGTTTCCTCAGTTTAAAAGACTTGGCTTTTCAAAACAACAAATATCTCATAACTACATAACTAAGAGGAAAATAATTGTAAATCTAAAAATAAAAAATGCACGGGCTTTAGGGCAAATATCCATTTGTACCTTGCTCGAGCAAAGTTTATTGTTTTTATTCAAGTTTCAAGCAAGACCATTTAGTTAATGCCAAGTGTCAGGAAATCACCAAGGTGTATGTTTTAGCTGTGCGATTTACAGTTTTATTTTTCTTTTAGATTTGTTCTTATTTAAAGCAATATGACTGTGTTGACTCTTTGTAGTGACACTCGTGTTTAATCAAATCAGATTGTTGTATTTATTCCACTATTTTGCATTTAAATGATGACATAAAAGATATAAAAAATTTAAAACTGCTATTTTTCTTATAGAAGAGAAAATGGATGTCGGTGATTGTATTTTAATTATTTAAGCATCCCTGTTTACCTGCCTGGGACAACATTTTATGGCAGTCTTATGTGCAAAGATCGTAAATGGACAAAAAAAAAAACAAAAAACAAAAAAAAAACAAAAAAATAAAATTTAAACTGCTTACAATGATCCAGGAGTTGCATTATAGCCAGTAGTAAAAATAATAACAATAACAATAATAATAATAATTATAATAATAATAATGAAACCATGTCTATAGCTGTAGATGGGCATCACACCTGTAAAGCAATCAATTGTATATTTTTGTGATGTGTACCATACCGTGTGCTCCAGCAAATGTCCATTTGTGTAAATGTATTTATTTTATATTGTATATATTGTTAAATGCAAAAAGGAGCTATGATTCTGTGACTCCAATCAGTTCAGATATGTAACTCAAATTATTATGCCTTTCAGGAGGATGGTAGAACAATATTAAACAGGCTTCCACTTTTCGCTGCGCTTTTGTGTTGTGTTTCTTCTTTCTCTCACTAAAGAAACAAACGATCAACAGTGCCCTTTGTTGCTGCCACTCAAAGAGTAGCTCCGAGGACCCGGTCCCTAAAAATAAAGCAGGACTTTAAGTAAGAGCTATATAAAGGCTTGTCAGAATGAATTCTAGGGTGCCAAGAGACATTTTGCATATTTAAGGGTATGCAAAGTGTCTCATGGCACATTAGAATTCATTCTGACAGGCCTTTATATAGCTCGTATTTAATCTTAAGCAGCCCCACATCATCCTGCATTACTCAAAATCATCGCCTCTATGTCAATGTCATAACAGAAAACTTTTCCCTATTTTAAGATCATATTAAAACCTGTGAGAGATATCTATTATTTCCTTCTATCGACAATTAAATCAAGCTCTCGGGCTGACACACTGAGCTCTGCCAGCACCTGCTTTTGGTGGAGAGATCCACAGCACAGCCATTCACCTGCTCTCCTGGATGGGGAAGTCTTGGCAGAGCCCTGGGATCGACCAAAGGGGAGGAGGCCAACTTGGAATTCAGGAGGGTTAAACAGTACCGTTGACAGCAAATGACCTTTTACGGCCCTGCTGCTTGGTGTCAACTTGGAACTTCCTTTGGACCCTGCTGGAGCCATCACCCCAGCGCTAATATGCTCCTTCTTGCTGCCCCTGCCTAGTCTGTCCTTTAATTACTCTGTCCAGCCTGAGAGGGTTTTGTCAGTGTGTTCACCCACCTTTCAGAGATGACTGGTTCTCCAGAGACACACATGGCAACACAAAAAGCCACTAACTAGAACTGATGCTTTTAGGACCATGAGATTACCTAGCTAGTGAGAAAGCTCACTTATGATTTTAATATCTGTTGAGTGGCAAAGACCTGACATAGTATCTCATGCTCATATTTTCATACTCTTGAGTTGTTGGTTTATTTGTATCAAATTTCTGAAATGCAACATTCAGACCTAAGAAGGGATAACCTGTCTGCATTCTTTAGGAGAGTTCCTCCTGTTTTTTAAACATATGAGAGGCACACTTACATACTTTAAAAACCCAAACATTGTAATTCTCTTGCTTTTTCATAACCCACAATTCTGAGACAATTTTCTGGTACAGATATTCATCATGGCTACTTCGGGCATAAAAGAAAGTGACTAGGACTTTGATATTTTTAGATGTATTTGTCAGTTTAGAAATAAGGTAGATTTGTATATTGTTTGCTCTTAGGAATTATTTCATTTTTAACACTTTGCAAGCAATTATTTGTTTCTCATGTTAAAATATTAGAAGGAACATACATTACTTCTCAGATTATTTTAATTAACAATGTATCATCCTTCAGGGGAAAAAGTAAGCATTGACCAAATGTTGCTCTTAAAATAAGGCACAAAAAAACTGAAAACTCATGTTGTTGAGTTTCATAAACCTTCATGAACACATACCAAATGAACGAAATCTATACGATAACATTCCATTTCAATGATTCATGGTAATCTAATTAGTGAATCATAACTCGTAAGAGTAGAATCATAACTAGTAAGAGTAAACATGCCCTTTGTTGCATAATCCCA